CACACACACACACACACACACACACACACACACACACACACACACACTCCCCTGGATGACTATGTGGGCAAACCTCCGACCATCTGGGGACGAAACCCTCGAGACGCACTGAGGAGTCTGATCTTCCTCTGCCACTGAGCAAGGCACCACTGAGAGACTGTGAATGTGAGAGAGAGGAAAACGTTCTGAGATCTTTCAGGGTTCGGTTTAATAACTGAGATCTTCATCGAATCAGATGTTTGTTCTCTTCTTCTGAGGTTAAAGGAGCTGGAAACAGAACTCTGAACTCTGGCTCAGGGTTATTTTATTATTTTATTATCGTATATTCTCGTCAAGCTTTATTTCAGCCCAGAACCTTTGGAGGAACTCGATGTGTCCCGAGGGTTGAACCGCCCCCTGCTAACTGGAGTACATGTACTCGATTACTCTCCGTCCCGGAGTAAATGAAGAGGTGAAATAAATAAATGGATCTCAGTTGACCGGCTCCATTAGCAGCGGAGTGCCGGGCCGGATCCATCACCGATGACATAATATGCAGCACCTCTTGATATCCATTAATGGCTTGTTGTGTGGACTAATCTGTGTGGCGCAGGCCGTGCTGCCCCCGAGCCAGTGCGGTAATTAAACTCCCGGTGTGTGGAGGTCACGGCTGCAGCGCCGGTGGTGAGTCCAGCTCCGCGGCTGCTGAGGGTTCAATACGAGACGCGAACCCATTTATTTTGCTGAGGCAGAGGAAAGAAAATCGGGTTTTGTTCCATTCAAGACTCAAACTCACACATTTGTTATTCGTGTCGTGAAGCTTTCGTCTGCTGGGATCCACTTTCTCTCTGATTTAAACTCCGACCCCGATTTCTGCCTCTGAGGAGGAACTTTGAAAATATATATTGTCGACTCTCTCAGATGATTTTCTGGAGCTTTTGATGATATCACACATATACACAAAGTGTGACACGACTGAGAGCTCCAGAAAAAGCTCCAGAGAGAAAGTTCAAGCTTATAAATCTGGAGAAATGAGACTTTTGTTCTGGAACATGTCGACGTTCCAAAGCTTCCATCACTATTTTAATTCCTGCTCGGGGAAAAGTTTGTTTTCAAAGACGAAGCTGTAGACAGGATCTAAATATATAGAAAGGTGTGGATGTGTGAGCGCAGCAGAGTCGCTGCACGTCTCAACCTGAGCGACGAGGCTCCTGCTGCGGCTCAAAGTTACTTTATCACCAAAGAGAAAAAAAAAAACTGGCGCCCGGACAAAAAAAGTCAATAGAATTCTCCAAATAGTCTCTTACATTTAAATTCACAGATTTGATGGTGATGCATACTTTGCGCCTGGCGGAAGCAGGGCTATTCATCACGCCGGCTGGGAGAGTGGAGGGCGGGGGAGGAGGGGGGGCGGCTGTCTGCGGACTCGGCCACCTTGATTAATGTGATTTGATCTTGACAGTGGACCCCTAATTCATCAAGACCTTGATCTAGCTGTCGCTCCCCCCTGCCTGTGCCAAATTCACCTAATTACAGGAACATTGCGCAGCAAATTAAGTGCGGTGTCATTTGTCGCCTGGTGCGGCACTTTATTATCCACTCGTGGCAGCGTGTCAGAGGTCCCCCTCCTTGATTGTCTAACATGACACCTCCACGCCGTCCCCTTTATCATTGTTTGCATATACCGTAATGAGAGCGCTGGTTATTTTGTCAAGCCTGTCATGAAGAGCGGCCGAGGGGAAGCCTCTTTATTCTTCCTTCTTCTGCCGGATGCCGGGGACGGTTTGTCTTCCCTCGCCGGGAAATGACAGCGAGGCGAGGAAGTTACAGAAAGAGGAACAACTTCCTCCTCGGACGACGGAGCGAGATCGTCTTCTGTTCCAGTTGTGGGTGAAACTCAAGACCTGCAGGAGACAGATGGAGGAGTCAGGGTCTGAGTGTCTTTACTCCAGAGTTTGGAATTAAACGTTAAACTGTTTAAAACTCGATGGATTCCCTGAATCTCCTCAGCTCCACGCTCTTCACTGACACTGAATACAAAGTGCATGGAGACTCTCTCTCTCTCTGACCGTGTCCTCAGCTCGGGTGTCTCTACGTTTCACTTCGAGCTCTGTACAAACAGCAGAGTCACCGTGTGCAGCTTCCTGCAGTGGAGTTCAGAAGAACTCCTGAAACTTCTGTCGGAGCTTCAAACTCTGAGGAGACGTCAACAGAGAAACAACAGCAGCTCAGCTTTAAACATCTTGTAACATCTGACACCGTGGACAGCGTCCATCAGCACTCTTTGCTTCACGCTCACAAACCCGTGGGTGACGTCCTCTGCTCTGAACGTTGGGACGTCCTCCACACAAAGAATTAAATATCTGATTTTGCTGCAGTTCTGTGTTAATTCCACGTTCGCAGATTGAAAACATCTCTGACATCACGAGCTGCTCGCTGCTGGTTTGGACTCAATCTCTGACACGTCGGCTCAAAGTGAAAAGGAACCGGAGCCGACAGATCTCTGGACGTCAGAGAGTCGACGCTGCCTGTGAAGCTCTCGCCCCGAATCAAACAGAAGCGTGTTTTCGGATTCAGCGCGGGAGGTGACATGAAAAATTCAGACTGTGTAAGAGAAGTTCTGCTGCGTCCAGCTCCGAGGACGAGATGATGAAATGACTTTTTAAGGAGGCCATGATTTGCGGCGCTGTGATCTGTTTGTTTGTATGTAGGTCACTTCTTCCTCTGCAGGAGGGAGGAGGGCGTTCGGGGGTTTCGTGGATGGGGTGGGGGGGTGGGGGGGGTGTAGGGGGGGGTTGCCTGTTAAGTTTGAGGCGTCCGTTTCACGCAGTCGACTCATAAACCAACAGTGGGAGTTTATTCAGCCGCGCACCGGACGACGTGATTTATCTAAATCAGAGAGCTCCCTGAGCCCCGACACCGGAGACGAGAGTCAACGTCACACTGTAATTCATCTCTGGTGTCACACACACACACACAGACTCACACACACACACACACAGACACACACACACACAGACTCACACAGACACACACACACACACAGAAAACAAAAACAAACACTCTTCTCATGTATGTGGAACATTCTCACATCCGCTCACTGGACCATTAAACAGTTATTTACATAAAATTTAAATTTCCAGCTCGTCCTGTGAGAAGATTCATAGTTTTCTGTTTTAAAAAAAAAAAAAACCTATAAAAAATGAATCGCTAATTTAACAAACAAAACTCGTTGACCTGAATTACGTGTAAACACCTCGAGTATGCTGCATGTGGGAGGGTCTCACAAACGTCTACGAAGATGTCGGACGAAACCAAAGGCTAACCTCGTCCAGACTTACTGCCCTCTAGTGGAATTCTCTAACACTGCACGTTTCATTAAAATAAGATAAAGGATCAATAACGGAGATAAAATACGAGAAGAGCTGCAGCTCAAAAATGGAGTAAGAAGAGTAAATAGATCGAATTAGAAATACTATAAACAACGTGTAAAACAGAATAAAGAAGTTAAATGTGTGACTTCACTCCGCCCCTCCACCACGGCTCCTCCCGTTTCATCCCGCTGCCCGGCACCGCACCGCGTCACGCTCCGAGGGTCGAGCATTGTGTTCGGACCCCTCTCTGAGTATCTGGACCTTACACGACTCCATCACTTCCTGGAGTGCGGCGTCTCCTTTGTGCAGAACAAAGATCCGGAGACACATTCAGGTTCTCCACACGAGGGCAGGAATCGTTTTCTGGAGCTTGACTCGTAAAAGAGACGAAAAGTGAAAATACTTCAATCACGTTCTTCAAACTTAAAGTGTGAGACGAACGCGACCATCAGGCAGATGAAGGCTTGTTGAACACGGGGATGCGTGTGATGTCACAAAGCGTCTGATGAGTCACAGACGCTCTTCATCACATCTTTGATCGGACTCATCTCGTGATCCACCCTCAACTTTTCTCTCCAGACGAGCCAACGCGATAAACGACACCCACAATGCCCCGTGGTTACTCGCCACACACACACTCTCGTCAGCTCATCTCCGTGACCCCTCTCTCACCCCTTCCTGCGACGCCCGCAGATCAAAAGCTCGACAGCGGAGCCGTGTCAGACGTGATCTCACGCTGTGTGTACACGCTGAGGTGGAGCTGCGAGGATCAGGTTCGAGGGTGGATTACTGAAGACGCTCGCCGGAGGAGCCGGAGGAGTGTGTGTGTGTGTGTGTGTGACTCAAAGTGAGGTCATCGGTGAATCCAACTCATTTCCTCTCTTCTCTGAGAAGAGAAGCGTTTGTTGAATCTGACGTGATGAGAAATATGAAAACGTTCCTGTGTGAGGCCCGGCGTGTTGCTCGAAGGCACCTCGGCAGCTTTAATGCATCCTAACGTTTCTCTGTCTCCTGCAGCCCCGCGGGTTTGACCGGCAGCCCCGTCGTCTCCGACATCTCCCTCATCCGCCTCTCGCCTGCTGCCGTGGCGACCGGCGACTCCCCGTTCAGCGCCCCTCACCCCTACGTCAACCCTCACATGGAGCACTACCTGCGCTCCGTGCACGGCAGCCCCATGCTGTCCATGATCGCTGCCGCCAGGGGACTCAGCCCGGCCGACCGTGAGTACCACCGGGTTTCTAACCTGTGACGAGCAGCAGCTGGGTTTTAAAAAACTCAAAGATGTTTTTGTTTGTGACACAAAGAGTAAAAAAGTTTTGAAGTGGATCCTTTAAAGTTAAAGTGAGTAGAAAAGATTTGTGAGCAGCTCAAATACACAGTGATTGTTTTATTTGTATGTTTAGGGAAAATGTTCAATTAGAAAAAAACTTTTTACCACTTAACTCTTTGTGTGACCGTCAGATTTCTATCATTTACATGTGAGCAGAAATAATAAGACGTCTCTCTGAGTGAACTGAATTTCTCTGGACACCTGTTCGTCCTCTTCGTCCTCAGAGTCTTTCTTCAGGGTGAAGGTTGATGAGAAGTCACATGATGATTTAAACTCTTCTCTGAAGTCTTCTAACCTCTGCAGGTTTTTTAATAATCTGACAATAAGGATTCACAAAGTGTCCCTCTTTTATTTCCAAGCGTCTTTTCTGTAAATGTGTTTTATCCTTTTCGCTGCGTCTCGTTTCAAACGGACTCGTTTCAGAGTGAAACAGGATTTCTCGTGTTTTGAAATCAGAACCTCATGAATGAAGAGTTTTCTGGTTTGAACACGTGTCGACCTGTGCTCCCACGTGTTTAAATTCCCTGAGGAGACACTTTGAATGAAACCATAGAAGCAACAACAGCGCAGGTAAATACTCTGACCCCCCCCACAATCCAAATTCACCGGGACGTGACGACGCCTCTTTCTTCAGCGGTGAATTACAATCACAGATTGGAGCGCGGCGGTGGGACGGCGTATAAATCTTCCGTTACAGTCTGTCAGCGGTAATGTGGCAGCGCCTTTACACTTAAACAAGCGTCTGAGATCTGGCCGAGATAACGGCGAGCGAGGGCAGGAAGGACAGAGCGCGGGGGGGGGGGTGCACAAATAGCTCGTTGAAACACGAGAAGTTGGGTTTGGAAACGGAGGCCGTCGGGTTTCATGCGTTTCAGGCGACCTCGTTCTTTTCACAACATCTGACACGTGACGCCAGCTTCACCTGAGGTGTAGCTTCTTCCCATTAGCACTGATTTGAGGAGTTTCTCTCTCTCTCTCTCTCTCTGTCGCTCAGACGAACTCTTCATCTCCGTCCTCGTCCATCAGAAACTCTTTCAGGAGGAAGATTACAATGTGAAACCCAAACTCAAACTCCCGACGCAGGTCCAGTGGATTCAAAAAACTAAACTCACGTTGAATTAACTTCTTGTAAACTCGTTTTCATTTGTGTAAGAATCGTCCAACCAGTGAGCGAGAGGAGGAGCTAACAGCTAAACATCATGACAGAGGAACAACCGCCAAATTCTCCTCCGGCGTCTTTGTGCAGAAAATACATTTCTGCTTTTTCTCATCGTGGGACTGAGGGAGCCGTGGGGGGGTGGGGGGAGGGGGTGGGGGGGGTGACGCCTACATGGGCCGCTGCACATCACTGGCCCCGCCCTGCCGGCCCCCTCACTCCATTCAAACAGATTCTCAGCGTGAGGTGGGAGGAGCAGGAATTCACCCCCTTGTTCCTTCATCCTTGCTTCCTTCTCTCCTCCCTTTATTCCT